CAATGAACTGTAAAATGACTCGCGAGGCGGCAAGTACAATTCATTCAATTTTTCGCTGCAGTCAATGTACTCGTACGGAAAGACGCCCTTTCGCGTCAAAAGATTAAAATCTTCTTCCGATAAATCGGAAAATTCACGTCGCAGTACCCGCAGCTTATCATTGTTGAGAAAAGATGACAATCTGTCTAAACTAGAAGCGAGAAATCTATATGAATCTATGAATCGTAATTATACGCAATTCTTTTGATCGATTTTAGTACTGTTAACGTGTTTGGTGAATAAGATGTATTTTTCTTTAATTATCGGTAAAAGATCGACGCGTCCTTCGTACGCGGTGGCAATTTCCTTGATAATGAAATGAGCGTCGTAGCCAGATAAATTATGGAAAACTACGGGTATGCAATGCGAATCCTTATAATTTAGATTGCAATTTGTGTGCGCGGGGCCTCTGTATCGCCCGGTTAAGTGGCAGTGATCGCGTACCCGCGTATCGTCTGGTGTAAACGGTTTCTCGCACACGTGACAATGTGAGGCGCTGTTAAATTTTTCCCAGTCGTCACGCGTGAAATCCACCATGGGAACATTAGCTGAAATTATTGACTGTACACTGTGCGCTAGATTTTTCAATTCTTCCGCGAACCACGCTATACAATCTTTGTCACGGCGAAATCGGTAGCCTGACAGTGAGCTGTCGTAGGAGTAGTGCACGTAATACCCGATACTGAAGATGTTGTGATGTTGGTACATGTGCGTAGCGGATTGTGAATCATTATTCATCTTTTCCAATACACACTCAAGATCGGCGTAGACTATGAACGGGATGCACTCCTTCCTGCAGTGGTTGCAGAAGCTCAACCACTTGTCCTCGCTCGGTAGCCTTATCGCACAATCGTTCAATTTCCCCAATCCTCACTGCGCGTCTCCAGTTTTGCGCTCGAGTTAAAGTAGTGGAAACATTTGTGAAAAAAAATTATTATTATTATTATTATTTATACGTACCTCTCGCAGAAATATTTCTTGTTCTTGTTTCTGTTAATCTGTGATCTCACAAGGCGGGACAGATCTTTGATCAGCGCGAAATGTCCTGCGCTGTCATCCTCCACGTACATGAGGTTTACGTGCTTGCTGCTCTTTCGATCGGTGAGTCGTATCGATACAATCCCCTTCTCGATGGCGTAGACCTTCTTGATGGAAATGTCGTTGAGAGTATCAAATTTTTTGATTTGATGTAACGTCATCGGAAACTGAATATCTTTGAGATTCAGTACCGATAAGTAGTGCGGATACGAGGATTCTCGATGTGCATTTTCTTGAACCGGGTGTAGAGCTGCTACCACCGACCATACAAAACACGCATGTCTGTGGATCGCACGTTAATCACCGCTCTCTTCAGCATAATTTCTCGCGGAAGTTTGATATGACATCCCGCGCGCAGAGGATTTAATTTATTCGCGTTTACCGTTAAATTGAGGATACGTGACAATGCCCATCCGCTGTCACGTTCTTGAAATTCTTCAAGCGAAGCTAGAACTGGTTCAACGACGCGCGACATGTACCACTCGCGCAAATCTGTGCATTGATATAGTTCATAATTCCGGGTGGTGATACTCTTGTTTGCGCGTTTGTCACCGGCCACGAATTCACCGTTAAATACTGTGTTTATCTTTAAAGAATCATATCTCTGTAAAACACACTGCACACTCTCGAGCACAATTTCACTCGCGTCTTCGAGGAATCGACGAGGTTCGATATAATTAGAGTTTATTATCGCGCCTGTTAGAATCCGGCTTTCGAACGCCGTTTCGACCTCGCGCCATCGAAGTCCATATGTTGCGCCTACGTGCACAAATCGTCCGCGCACCGAATCCTTCAAGCTTTCAAGTTGCGTGATACATGCGATCACTGATTGTCTATTACCGGTCGATAATCGCGAGCGTTTAATACGACTCTGCTCTTTCAGAGATTCTATAAATTCATCGCATCGCTGTTCCCACGCGATGTACTCTTCTCTTGTATTTAGCAGGGTAGCTTGCTCAATCAAATCTCGCTCCATGTTGTCACTTTTGCTGTTACATTGACTAATGACGCGATGCGCTTAAATCCTTACATTTTTATATCATTATTTGTGTTATTTATAATGATGATGTCATCGTGAAACATTTCAAATGTTTTTGAGAAAAATCTTATATTACGCTAAATCTAACATGGTTATTGTACAATTGTATTATATTGAGCATTTTTTCCGCAAACGTTGCATTTTTGCAGGTGTTGTATCAAATTACATTGATGAGCAGATCGTTAAACATGACATGACATGTCAAATGTCCTTGAAAAATTCTTTCATTACGTTAAATCTAACATGGATGTTGTACAATTGCATCATATTGAACAACTTTTTCGCAACCGCTGCATTTTTGTGCTATCAAATTACATTGATGATTTCATCACCGGATGTGTCTAAAAATCTTTTGTTGCTAGGTATGCATTTTTGCAGGTGTTAAATTGATTATATCATCGCGAAACATGTCAGGACACGTCGAATGTCCTTGAAAAATTTCTTATTTTACGCTAAATCAAACATTATTGATGCGCAATTACATCATATTGCGTAACTTTTTCGCTACCGTTGCATTTTTGTGGTATCAAATTACAATAATGGTCTCATCAGGCGAGTCTTTTGCATAAATTCTTAATGCTGAGATGGGTAAACGGTTTACAACTCCATACAGTAGCGTTGGATGGAGGGAGGGAGATTAAGATTAAAAATTGGTACAGTCGACTACTCCGTCGTCATTAGTGATTCAAGACTTTGTGATTGAACTTGTTAAAATACGCGATGTGGACACTGTGAAATTATTTTTGTGTGCTAAGTGTTTATATATGAAACCATCGACCATGCTCTTCATGTTTGAACTGGAACAATGTATTGAGCATGTATATTTCGATTTGTGTCAATGTACAAATAGTGTAAGTGATAAATTTAAATATTTCATTACATATTTACGTCAAAATTGTATTATGAACAAATGCTATAAATATCTTGCGTAAGATTTATGATAAGAACTCATATATTGAATGTGAATTGATTTCATGTGCTTCACATAATACTGTATATCATGCGTTACGTGAGTAATAAATGTTTATTAATATTCTACATATCTCAGTATTTATCATTATTCATTCCATCCTTTCTACGCTCATCCACCTTATTTCCGCGGTATCGTATTACGCACGCCGACACTCGACAACATCGCGCTAGATATCGTCGCGTCCGTATTAAGCGAATCTGCGATATATTTAAGATCTTTGCGAGCGAGTAGTTGCGGAAAGCGTCAAAAGGGAGAAATATGAAGCTGCATAAGGTAAAACCAGTAAGTATGGTAAACATATAATTGCTTTAGTAAATATATAATTGCTTTAATAAACATATCTCCGTCTTCACATTTTATATAATATTTCCTTCTTTCCCTCCTTCTTCGCGGTATCACGTTACATCGCGCGCGACCATATGGATACATCGCGCTGTTACTAAATCATACATACGCGCAAATATAAAGTTATAAAAATAAAAATAAAATAAAATAAAATAAAATAAAATAAATAAATGAAATAATTAAAATAAAATAAAAAATCTTTGCGTGCGAGAAAAAAATACTGCTCCATAAAAGGAGAAGATACCGCATAAGAGCGAGAGAGATGGTAAGTATACACGGTGAGTATACGTGGTAAGTATAGCGGGGACCGCGCTCGGCGGCGGCGGCGGCCCGCGCGCGCGATGGCTGCTGCGGACTGCGCCCGGAGGCAGCCGAAGGGACCGCATCCGGAGGCTCCCGCAATGGAATTTTCCACACCTTGCGACGTCATCCTCCCCGTGACATTGTCATCCTCCCCCGTGACGTCATCCCCCTCCCCATGACGTCAGACCCCTCACCCTGTGACGTCACCCACCGTGACGTCATCCCCCTCTCTCTCCCTCGTGATGTCATCCCCCTCCCCGTGACGTCATCCCCCTCCCCCGTGACGTCAGCCCCCTCGCCCAGTGACGTCAGCCCCCTCGCCCAGTGACGTCAGCCCCCTCGCCCAGTGACGTCACCCACTGTGATGTCATCCCTCCTCCCCCTCCCCCGTGCCGTCAGCCCCCTCGCCTAGTGACGTCACTCCCTGCTCTCTCCGCGGACCCCCCCGCGCCGCGGGATCCCCTCTGCGCCTTACCCCTCTCGGAGCTCCCGAATTAGAATCCCCCTTATTACCCAACTCTATTGACTATTAACTTTTGACTTTACTGGCTGATTCGCTTCTCATTACTGTCTTCTGACGTCTCACTACTGACTGACTTCTGACTATTGACTATTGACTTTACTGGCTGATTCGCTTCTCACTACTGTCTTCTGACGTTTCACTACTTGTACGAAAATTGTCTTTTGTTTGAGTGCTGCTGCACATCACACCGATTCGCGGTACAATTTCTTCGCGTGGCGTGATCGAAGAATCGTATATTCTTCTTAGTTGACGGGTGAATTAAAACGATATCGTTCACTGAGGGGTAAAGAACATTTTATTAACGGAATCAGAATACCGCATATCACAATGGCGATTATGAGAGATGCTTCTCGCAGGACGGTTGATTGAGATTTAACTTAATCCAATAACGGACTGATAACGGTGCCGCCGCGTCATGCCCAGTGAATCAATCGATAGGTAGCGCCGCGGAATATCGCAGGTGGTGCCAATAGGGAAATCGCACGGTAACACAAATAACTTCGTCCGATTCTCGCGTATCGAACAACGCCGCCCCCCTTGAAAGGATAGCTTTCAATGACGAACCGAGACATCCATGGTAAATAATAAACAAACAAACAAGCAAACACAAAGAAAACGTATAATATGGAGCTCGTAACGTTTACTGAACTTAATCTATCGTATTTAATAATAACATTGTGGAAATAAATCACAGTAGACTTACATACTAAACGAAGAAAAATAAAGTGACGCAAAGAAAATTACGAACTATCGATCGTGTCGCAGCTGGGATGTGAGTCCTGTAATTCTAACAGTAATATAGCAAGTTTAGACAGTGGTCTCACAAAGGAGCCATTGACGGTCTTCACCGTGGCAGTTCGGGCAACGCTGTTTGCGCCCGGATGAATTTGCTGGACACGTCCCAACATCCACTGTAAAGGGGGTAAATTTTGCTGTTTTAACAAAACAAGCTGATTAGGTTGTAGCTGCAGGCCCTTATTTGCTCTCCATTTCTTGCGTTTCTGCAGGGAATGGAGGTACTCTGTGCTCCACCTGCGCCAGAAATGTTGTCTAATTTATTCAACCCGATGCCAACGAATCAGGCGATTTTCATTCACATCGCTCACATCCCTGCAAGGAAAACTGTTTAGTGGCTCGCCAATTAAAAAATGACCTGATGTAAGATATTCTAAATCATTGGGATCGGTGCTTAGCTGTGTAATCGGCCGCGAATTGAGTACTGCTTCGATTTCGCAGAGTGCCGTCTGCAGCTCCTCGAAAGTCAAATGCGCCCGCCCCATAATGCGAGTCAAGTGGTACTTTGCCGATTTGACGGCGGCCTCCCATAAACCACCAACGTGTGGCGCGTTTGGCGGAATGAAGCTCCACGAAATGGATTGTTCATGCATAAATCGTTGTATATCTGAATTCGCTCGCTGACTATGATAGAAATCGTACAATTCTTTGTTTTGGTTACGGGCGCCTACAAATGTGGTTCCATTGTCTGAGTACATTTTAGAGGATTTCCCTCTACGCGATATGAATCGTTTAAACGCCGCGATGAAAGCGTCGGACGTTAAGTCGCTGACAAGCTCTATGTGCACTGCTCTTGTTGCGAAACAAACAAAGATGGCTACGTAGGCCTTAGAATACTTCGCGTTTCGTCTTTTGCCCTCTTTAATTGAAACCGGACCAGCATAGTCCACCCCGCAATGTGCAAATGGTTTGGACACTGTAACGTGGCCCGCGGGCAAGGAGCCCATAATCGCTTCGGAATGGCGTGGTTTGGCTTTGAAACACGTAATACAGTTTTGGATCACCTTACGTGTCGCGGAGCGCAAAGATAGTGGCCAAAACTGTTGCCTAACATTCATTCCTGCATGTAGATTTCGTATATGTTCTCGCTCTATAATGAGTCGAGTGAGAATGTGATTACGCGGAATCACTATAGGATGACGAGTGTTGATTTGTAAGTTCGAGTTGCTCAATCTATCATCGCAGGAGTCCTGACTCATCAATGAATGGGGCTAACGATCGTAGGTTACTGGTGACAGCAATTGAGTCCCCCCTCTACAATGCTTCGTAATCCCTTGTGAATGACTGTTTCTGTACAGCCCTACATATGATATCTAAAGCATGCGATGCCTCCATGGGCGATATAACAACTGATGGAACGCTCGGATGATGCTTCCTCGAAAAACGCAAACAATACGCCACAATTCGTATGATTCTATTGATACTCGAACACCTAGTCAACAGCTTATTGACTACACAGTCACCCGTGGAAGTCACAACTGAAGATACCATCCTCAACTCTAGTAGATTCTCCCGTGGTTGAATGATGTTTCCGCCCGGCCATAGGTCATCGTTGTGTCGCAAAAAAGAGGGTCCGTGCCACCACGAAGCATTATTGATTAATTCGTTGGGATTTAGTCCACGCGACAGAACATCGGCGGGGTTATTTGATGAGCTGACATGGCGCCAGTCTTTGAAATCCGTGAGTCGCTGTATCTCGCCAACTCTATTTGCCATGAAAGGTGTCCACTTCCGAAATGGCGAGCCTATCCAATTGAGTGTGATCATGGAATCTGACCAACAAAACCTCCTCGAATGCTCCAACTGTATTGCTTCACCAACCTTTGACATGAGACGAACTAATAGCAAAGCTGCGCACAACTCAAGCCGTGGTAGAGACACCGCCTTAAGCGGAGCGACTTTTGACCTGGAACACAATAATTCTATTCGATACTCATGTGGCCTCAACTTCGTGCGGAGGTACACACAAGCGTCATATGCCCTTTGGCTAGAGTCACTAAACCCATGTATTTGCATCGACCGCGAGTTGGAATCAAACTTGACCGCGCGAGGAATTTCCAGCTGATTGAGAACCACTAATTGTGATCTGAACATGGTCCAGCGCGTATGAATGTCTGGAGGGACAGATTCACCCCATTGAATACCTATCTGCCACAACTCCTGAACAATGAGCTTGGCGATAACGATGACTGGGCCCAACAATCCTAATGGATCAAATATTCTCGTGGTTTCAGATACAATGCTGCGTTTGGAAATTGTAGAAGCCGACGCGGGTTCACAATGAAAGTGGAAGGTGTCTTCGATTCGATTCCATTGAACACCGAGAATGCAAGCTTCGATCTCATTGCTAATTGTAATTAATTTATCGTTTTGATTGCCTAGGCCCTCGAGCAAGCTGGGACAATTGGATGCCCATTTATCTAGTTCGAAACCTCCTTCTCGTAATAATTCAATCACCTCATCGCGTATGATTCTTGCTTCTTTGACGGTATCTGCTCCCGTAAGCATGTCATCTATGTAAAAGTCCCGAATGAGGTGCTTCGCTCCTAATGGATACCTTGAAGAAAATAGGTTAGCGAGGTGAACGAGACACCTAGTGGCTAAGTATGGCGCTGTAGATGTGCCATACGTTATGGTGAGCAGTTCGTAAGTGATAACTTCGTCGGTAGAACTCTCTCGCCATAGAATCTTCTGTAAACCAGTCTGTGAGGGGTGCACTAATATTTGTCAATACATTTTAATGATATCGGCTACGATGACATATCGAAACGTTCGAAACCTTATTAAAATAGACACCAGGTCTTGTTGGACGACTGGATCTACCAATAAGACATCGTTGAGAGATAACCCGCTGCTGGTCTTACAAGAGGCATCGAATACTACTCGTATTTTGGGAAACTGACCCGAGGTCTTGAATACGCCGTGATGCGGCAAGAAAACGGATGGCGATCCTTCGTCGCTCTGAATATTGACTGGGCACATGTGCCCAAGATTTACGTATTCATGTATGAACTTCGAGTATGACTCTTTAAGTTCCGGTTGACGTTTGAAACGCCTCTCTAACGCCTCCAATCACTTTAAAGCGATCTTGCGAGACTCTCCGAGCTTACTGAGTGAATGTTCCCTGACCGGTAATTTAATCACCAATCTACCTTGAAAATGCTGTTCACAAATACCTTCCTCGGATGTGAGTTCATCCCTCCGATCTACCGAGTCGGTTAGTTTCCAAAACTTGTCCAGTTCCGCATGTAATTGGATATTTGAAATGGACGTATGCAGCGATAGCGCCCTCGACGCGGACCGAGGTGTACCACCCAAACATCCTGCCATAATCTATCCAAAACGAGTCCTTTGTAATGTCGGATGCTTTGATGAAGCCTTTATTTGTCCCATGCATAGCAGATCCCAAAATATTTATAATGCTCCGAGAAGGAGGTCCACTTCAGACGACACATTGAAGCGGGGGTCTGCCAATTTAATGTTACGCGAAAATTCCAGTTCACCTTGCTTGAGTGAAAACGCCGGGAGCTTCTCTGTTACGTTATCAATGACTAGGCAATCAATAGTGACATTATACGGATTTAATCTAGATTGCACTTTAATTCGTGCTACTTGCCTTAACATTGAAACTGTACCGCTGACGTCGGAAATAGACACGTTTGACCGTCGCGGTTTTATTTTAAGCATTGATAGAAATCTTGATGAGACAAAGTTCGCTTGCGATCCGTAATCGAGTAGCGCTCGACATGGTTTGAGAGTACCTTCGATATCAGGTACGTAAACTAGCGCGGTCGACAAGAGTACGTCATTGTTCGCGACAACATTGGAGGTGTGCGTGGTCACTAGCGGAGACACATCAGCCGACCTTGTCTCTTCGGAAATATTCGCGGGTTTATCGACACGTTCTGATGAAGCAACGTGTTATGCTTCCCAGAACACATTTTACAATGTCCGGAAGTGCATTTGTTCGCTACGTGAGAGGCGGACCGTAAACAATTGAAACATATCTTGCGAGTACGAATTTCGGCTGCCCTACGCGAAACAGACAGCGCTAAAAATTCTTTACAGTGGTAGATTGAGTGCTCGCCC